AATGATTTACAAAACATCCGGCGGAATAATGTACAGTACTAATCTAAACAACAAATGACCTGTGCGTAGGTTTGTTTTGGCAACTTATTTGCAATGTGCACATTTTTTTTGAGTTTCTCAATTGGTACATGACAGCAACAATTCTTGTTATAAACAGAATATTTGAGGAAAGGGATTAAACTGTTTGTTAATGATTGCATATTTGAACATTTCTAACCTGCGTCATTTGTGTCAAGATGAAGTGAATCATTTTACATTTTTCTTGTACACAAATAGAATATAAAGACAACAATCAATGATTTCAGCTCAGTACGCTCAAACGCCAAATTAACAGTAGCCTTAAGTCTGTACAAAGTTCGCCCACGAGAACACAAGTATTTAATATTATTACCCCTCCCCTTTTCGTAATGTTAATTCCTCATAGGCCTCTGAGAGTTACTCTTACTGTTAATGCAAGTGTACCACGTGACAAAGAATTTTGTATTGTTACATAGGTAACAGTATTTTTTAACAGTATAAAATCTGGTCACGTGGTCTATTTTCTAAATAAAATGAAATAAAATGGCCGCCATTTTCTCTCGATTCATTCTTATTTTCGACGATAGGGCCTAGGGCATTGACTCTCATAAAATTTAGTTCTTTGCACCCTTGAGTTCTTTTCGCGTATAAAATACCTTTTTGTTGAATAGTCAAACAGTAAACATCCGTTTTCAACGGAAGTAATTGTAACGTGAATAAATTTGTGTCCAACTGCAACATGCAGACGATTAAAGCATGCAACAAAGGATTATTTAACAATTTTAACCAGTGAAACGTTACAGATAGAGTTGGTGGACAGACATCTGTAGGATATCATCGTTATATTGTAAATGCACTTTGACAAAAACCATGCGAAGAATATTCTGGATACAGAAGGATCATATTTCACAGATCATAACCTTATAAATGGGTTAGTGTTTTGTTTTCTAAATAAAACACAGCTTATTGTATGTTTATGACTGGTAGATATCATCACTTGCTTAAAGAATAAAAGAAAAACAGCTTCTCAAGTAGGCCTACAGTACAGTGCACTTAAAACTTGCAAGGTAAGGACAGTTACGCCTCGGGTAACAGTATTTTCCTCGGGCTGATATTTTTACTGTTACCCACAAACCCATGTGTTATTTATAAACTCTGCTAATTTCAAACTGCATTCTATGAGTGACACAATCCAGTTGTCTGCATGTGTCATGGGATGAAGGGTAATCGTTACGATAAGGTTGAATAGAAACCACTTTTTGCTTGTGTCGTGATATTAAGAGCTCGTTTGAGTACATTTTGACGTGTATATATAAAATACATATTAAATAGTACAAAGCTATAACTGATGATGTTTTTGTTTAAAAAGACAGTAAAATTACTGTTTTTTTTATATGAATTATGTACGGAAATTGGATAAAATGTTCCGGAAACAAAATATTTGGAAGATATTCTTAGTAAATTGAACGATGATGTCACGCATTCCCCCACTCGCTATCAATACAATATACGGAAGTGTTATTCTAGTCAAATGTTACAATGATGTTGAATGTAAACCATTTTCCGCAAATGATTAACGTCAAGCAATTTAACCATTATTCAGACTGTGGGTCTCCATTAAATGTATCCAATGGTAATTTGCACTACACCGCAACAACGTTTGGATCAACTGCTTCACTTGTCTGTGATAGAGGATATGATGGAAACGGTACAATAAGCTGCCTTGACACTGGAAATTGGGAAACACCACCAATATGTTCTATTAAAGGTAAATTTAATTTGTATCAATTTCAATTCTTGTTAAATATTTAGAACTTTTGTCAATACATTCCTTATGTATACTTTTAACAAAAATGAAAGTCCTGGATGTTAATGAATTATAAATGTATTATATGTAATAGTGTATAGGTGATATATAAAAAGATATGTCACCGTATTACAATAAAAGTCTTGCTACTCAAAAATGTACTGCAAGGACAACTCTAAGGAAATAAAATCTGGAACAGGAAAATACAACTTCATGGTAGAATAACTCTAGTGATAAGATATTGATTCTGTTTCAGGACGTTAAAGATTTAATGTCACTGTGATCTGATAAAAGATATATGTTTCGTCCTAATCCCTTACAAATATGTAATATAGTAATCAATCGACCCCTGAGTCATTGTATTTTAGCTGACAAGAGCAAATATTGTTAAGCTTTGTAGCTCAACAAAGAACGACGTTATTCATGTGATTTATCGTGATTATATACCGTTGGTTGTCCTGTGTAAGCAGGTCCGCGCTTACAGTTTGGTTTTTATGTGGTTATGGATATAATAGGAAACAATTGATTGTCATTGTTTCTGTCGTTTGGTAAAAGGTTGATGTTTCTAATATGGCTTTTTTGTTTTTGAAAATAACTCAGGGATATTCTTCGTTAATATTGGCATTCGAGAAATTAGAAAATGGGCCGATAAAGTATATTGAAATGTGTACATTATTCGTCCTTTTAGGCATTTGCGGCTTATAATGAGGAACGGGGATTGAGGATCGAGGACAAGTTATATAAAGGGATAATCTCAAAATAATCCAACATTTTATAATAAACACGCTTTCTATGTAACGGATATTACCAGCATTGTCAACGTGATATTATTTTTGTCCTGAATAATATTATTCCTGTGGCTCTACTTTAGGTGATATGTCCCATCAATAGACCTGACAGCCAAATGTACACGCATTTGTTTAATGAGTACATCGTTTCAAATTAAAACATGGAATTTAAGCCTGGATCCGTCTTTCACTGACGATACTGAACGAAAGTGTTTAGTGACTTTTGGGATGTTTTTTTTAAAGAATAATGTAAGTGTTTCGGGTATCTCTTAACGTAACTCGAAGAACTTGTATATATGTGTGCATTTGAAATACATTTCTGCCACTTCAGTGAGAATGGTGGTGGGATTATAAGGAAGCAAAAATCCTACCGAAATATTAAGTAAGCATGATTAAGAGAAACGATAAAAGTACATAAATCATCATAAATCAGTTACCATAATCTGCACCAAATTCTTAATATATTTTGACATCGTATATAAAAATAGCTTTCAAACCCTGGGTAATTGCAATAAAATTCATGATTGTCTATTTTAATTTGCTGATGCATTGTGCTGATGTATTTTAAATACTCCATATATAATTATTTTTTCCCCATAAGGCTTTTAGTAGACAGTCTTCTTCGACTGAAAAAGGTTATTAGTTCAAAATAAAAGAAAGAATCCTTAAAGAAAGACAAACACGGAAGAATTGAAAATGTTGCAGGCTCGGTTTGATTGAGCTTGTTCATGGACGGTACTGTCAAGTGCAAACTACCGTCCACGCCCCCTAGCACCGGCTTAAGCAGAATTCAATATTTAACATGAACGGATAAAATTTAGAATTTTGAAACATCCGCAGATGTGTTCATATGGCGGTTATCATTGAACCTTCAACGTGACACGTTAGTGCCATTCCATGAAAAGCGGCATATGGTCCCCCATGTTAGTTCAAGCCACGTGATACCAAATACATGAAAAATGGTTCTGACAACTCCTGGTTCGGCGCTCAACATTGAAATATTAATGAATAATGTTTAATGTATCGAAGGCAAGCAAAAGAGAACCTGTTCAGACCGTAAATAAACGGACTATCAGTATATGACGGAAAAAACTGTTGAAATATCTGGAAAAGTGATACCTCGGCAGCATTAAAACAGCAAAAGAAATCATGAAAATGCAGACTTGGTTTGATTGGAGTGCACATGATGAATAATAAATAGTGCAACAACCCTCACGCCCCCGCGGGACTCAACTCTCAACACTTAAAAGTGCTGGACTCAATTATCCTAAAGGACCAGAAAAATATAGTTACACTGAAGTGAAGTACGGGGCACCATTTTACTGCTGGCACACGGCACTTGACACCTGCTGCTTTGATGTATAAATATCGCGTTAAACACCGATTCAGTCACTCACACCATTTCAATTTCACTTTTCAATAGTTTCAAATTATGGCCAGCCCTTAGGCCTGCCTACAACGTCTTGAAAGACGTCTTTTGAGTTAAGGATTATGTGCCGAAAAAAACACAGGTGCAGTCCCTGTGGAAAGACCGGCATCTAATCCAAGGGCAAGCTTAAGTGGCTCACATGCAGCAGTCATTGCTAGGTCAAGCTCCGATAAATCTTAACAGATGTATAAATGAGGGCCAACATGGACAGTTGACCAGCAGCTTCGCTCCCGCCTGCACAACCGAGACCGTCGTCAAGACGTTAAGATAACCGTGCTCAAGCTGCCAAACGTTTTGACATCATCAAAGGACGAAACTATTGATGCACGTCAGCGCACTAGACAAAACAGCCGTCAACGTAAACGACCATTGACAAAGCTTATGAGAAAAGTTCCGAATTTATGTAGGGAACTTGGCATCAGTTCGTGTTGCAATTACTAAAATGAAAATTAAGGAAAGAAACACAGACAGATATCCTGGCCTTATTTTTAAGTGTCCATAATATGTGTTGAGATGACCCCTCAATATTAACGTAACTGTTCCTCGATAATCGTTCCCGACATTATGTCGCAAATGTCTTTTAAAAACCTTCAAAGCTCTTTTGAAAACATATTGACTTGTATATTTGAAATACAAATTAAAGAGTATAAAGCAGTAACTAATGGTGTTTTTGTTTAAATGACGGAAAAATTATGCCGTTTTCATATGAATATTATACGGAAATAGGATAAAGTGTTCCAGAAACAAAATACATTTGGAAGATATTCTTTGTAAATTGGACGATGATTTCACGCATACCAAACTCCCTGTCAATAAAATATACGGAGGAATTCTTTCATTTTAGGTATTCTAGTAAATCGTTACAATGAATTTGAATATAATACATTCTCACGCTTATGAATAACGTCATGATATCTATTTTAAATGTTATAAATGAATTTTACCATTATTCAGATTGTGGGTCTCCATTAAATGTATCCAATGGTAATTTGCTCTACACCGCAACAACGTTTGGATCAACTGCTTCACTTGTCTGTGATAGAGGATATGATGGAAACGGTACAATAAGCTGCCTTGACACTGGCAGTTGGGAAACACCACCAATATGTTCTGTAAAAGGTAAATTGTAATTTTTATCAATTTCAGACCTTGTTAAATATTTAGAACTTCTGTCAATACTTTCGTTTGTTTGTTTGTTTGTTTGTTTTTGTTTGTTTTTCATTTTACGCCTTTTTCCAACAGTATTTCAGTCATATAGGCGGGTAGTTCCCTAACCATCGTTCCTAGAGAGTTACACCAGCAATACTTTTGTTATGTATACTTTTAACATCATTGAAAGTCCTGGATTTAAATGAATAATAAATGTATAATATGTATTAATGTATAAGTGATTTTAAACAGATCTGTCATCGTATAACATTATAGATATTGTACGCATGATCTGATTTTTGTTATCACCTTTATATTGTTTTCATTAATTAATTGTCTTATGTTATAATTGAAATATTATATCTACCTACTCAAAAATTTACTGCTTGGACAACGTTGAAGAATTAAAATCTTGAACAGGAAAATACAAATTTATGGTAGAATAACGCTACTGATAAAATATTGATTCTGGTTCATAACGTTAAAGATTTAATGTCACAGTGATCTGATAAAAGATATATGTTTCGTCCTAATCCCTTACAAATATGTTATATAGTAATCAATCGATCCCTGAGTTTCTCACTTAAATATTAAATAACAGTCGTTGTATTTTAGCTGATCATAGCACATTCTGCTCACATTTGTAGCTCAACAAAGAACAACGTTTTTCATGTTATTTATTGTGATTAAAAATCGTTTGTCGTCCTGCGTCAGTACGTACTCGCTAACAATTTGGTTTTATGTGGTTATGGATATAATAGGAAACAATTGATTGTCCTTGTTTCTGTCGTTTGGTAAAAGCTTGATGTTTCTAAAATGTCTTTATGTGGTTGAAAATAACTCAGGGGTATGCTTTGTTGATGTTGGCATTCGGGAAACTTGAACATGTGCCGTTAAAATTTATTGAAATGTGTACATTATTCGTCATTTTAAAAACCTTCAAAGCTCTTTTGAAAACATTTTAACTTGTATATTTGAAATACAAATTAAGAGTATAAAGCAGTAATTAATGGTGTTTTTGTTTAAATGACGGAAAAATTATGCCGTTTTCATATGAATATTATACGGAAATAGGATAAAGTGTTCCAGAAACAAAATACATTTGGAAGATATTCTTTGTAAATTGGACGATGATTTCACACATACCAAACTCCCTGTCAATAAAATATACGGAGGAATTCTTTCATTTTAGGTATTCTAGTAAATCGTTACAATGAATTTGAATGTAATACATTCTCACGCTTATGAATAACGTCATGATATCTATTTAAAATGTTATAAATGAATTTTACCATTATTCAGATTGTGGGTCTCCATTAAATGTATCCAATGGTAATTTGCTCTACACCGCAACAACGTTTGGATCAACTGCTTCACTTGTCTGTGATAGAGGATATGATGGAAACGGTACAATAAGCTGCCTTGACACTGGCAGTTGGGAAACACCACCAATATGTTCTGTAAAAGGTAAATTTTAATTTGCATCAATTTCAGACCTTGTTAAATATTTAGAACTTCTGTCAATACTTTCGTTTGTTTGTTTGTTTTTGTTTGTTTTTCATTTTACGCCTTTTTCCAACAGTATTTCAGTCATATAGGCGGGTAGTTCCCTAACCATCGTTCCTAGAGAGTTACACCAATAATACTTTTTTTATGTATACTTTTAACAACATTGTAAGTCCTGGATTTAAATGAATAATAAATGTATAATATGTATTAATGTATAGGTGATTTTAAACAGATCTGTCATCGTATTACCTTATAGATATTGTACACATGATCTGATTTTTGTTTATCACCTTTATATTGTTTTCATTCATTAATTGTCTTATGTTATAATTGAAATATTATATCTACCTACTCAAAAATTTACTGCTTGGACAACGTGGAAGAATTAAAATCTTGAACAGGAAAATACAACTTCATGGTAGAATAACGCTACTGATAAAATATTGATTCTGGTTCATAACGTTAAAGATTTAATGTCCCAGTGATCAAATAAAAGATATATGTTTCGTCCTAATCCCTTACAAATATGTTATATAGTAATCAATCGACCCCTGAGTTTCTCACAACAGTCCTTGTATTTTAGCTGATCATAGCACATTCTGCTCACATTTGTAGCTCAACAAAGAACAACGTTTTTCATGTTATTTATTGTGATTATGAATCGTTCGTCGTCCTGCGTCAGTACGTACTCGCTAACAATTTGGTTTTATGTGGTTATGGATATAATAGGAAACAATTGATTGTCCTTGTTTCTGTCGTTTGGTAAAAGCTTGATGTTTCTAAAATGTCTTTATGTGGTTGAAAATAACTCAGGGGTATGCTTTGTTGATGTTGGCATTCGGGAAACTTGAACATGTGCCGTTAAAATATATTGAAATGTGTACATTATTCGTCATTTTGAAAACCTTCAAAGCTCTTTTGAAAACATTTTGACTTGTATATTTGAAATACAAATTAAAGAGTATAAAGCAGTAATTAATGGTGTTTTTGTTTAAATGACGGGACAATTATGCCGTTTTCATATGAATATTATACAGAAATAGGATAAAGTGTTCCAGAAACAAAATACATTTGGAAGATATTCTTTGTAAATTGGACGATGGTTTCACGCATACCAAACTCCCTGTCAATAAAATATACGGAAGAATTCTTTCATTTTAGGTATTCTATTAAATCGTAACAATGAATTTAAATGTAATACATTCTCACGCTTATGAATAACGTCATGATATCTATTTTAAATGTTATAAATGAACTTTATCATTATTCAGATTGCGGGTCTCCATTAAATGTATCCAATGGTAATTTGCTCTACACCGCAACAACGTTTGGATCAACTGCTTCACTTGTCTGTGATAGAGGATATGATGGAAACGGTACAATTAGCTGCCTTGACACTGGCAGTTGGGAAACATCACCAATATGTTCTGTAAAAGGTAATTTTTAATTTGTATCAATTTCAGTCTTTGTCAAATATTTAGAACTTCTGTCAATACTTTCGTTTGTTTGTTTGTTTGTTTTTCTTTGTTTTTCATTTTACGCCTTTTTCCAACAGTATTTCAGTCATATAGGCGGGTAGTTCCCTAACCATCGTTCTTAGAGAGTTACACCAGCAATACTTTTGTTATGTATACTTTTAACAACATTGAAAGTCCTGGATTTAAATGAATAATAAATGTATAATATGTATTAATGTATAGGTGAGTTTAAACAGATCTGTCATCGTATTACCTTATAGATATTGTACACATGATCTGATTTTTGTTATCACCTTTATATTGTTTTCATTAATTAATTGTCTTATGTTATAATTGAAATATTATATCTACCTACTCAAAAATTTACTGCTTGGACAACGTTGAAGAATTAAAATCTTGAACAGGAAAATACAACTTCATGGTAGAATAACGCTTCTGATAAAATATTGATTCTGGTTCATAACGTTAAAGATTTAATGTCACAGTGATCTGATAAAAGATATATGTTTCGTCCTAATCCCTTACAAATATGTTATATAGTAATCAATCGATCCCTGAGTTTCTCACTTAAATATTAAATAACAGTCGTTGTATTTTAGCTGATCATAGCACATTCTGCTCACATTTGTAGCTCAACAAAGAACAACGTTTTTCATGTTATTTATTGTGATTATAAATCGTTCGTCGCCCTGCGTCAGTACGTACTCGCTAACAATTTGGTTTTATGTGGTTATGGATATAATAGGAAACAATTGATTGTCCTTTTTTCTGTCGTTTGGTAAAAGCTTGATGTTTCTAAAATGTCTTTATGTGGTTGAAAATAACTCAGGGGTATGCTTTGTTGATGTTGGCATTCGGGAAACTTGAACATGTGTCGTTAAAATATATTGAAATGTGTACATTATTCGTCATTTTGAAAACCTTCAAAGCTCTTTTGAAAACATTTTGACTTGTATATTTGAAATACAAATTAAGAGTATAAAGCAGTAATTAATGGTGTTTTTGTTTAAATGACGGGAAAATTATGCCGTTTTCATATGAATATTATACGGAAATAGGATAAAGTGTTCCAGAAACAAAATACATTTGGAAGATATTCTTTGTAAATTGGACGATGATTTCACGCATACCAAACTCCCTGTCAATAAAATATACGGAAGAATTCTTTCATTTTAGGTATTCTATTAAATCGTAACAATGAATTTGAATGTAATACATTCTCACGCTTATGAATAACGTCATGATATCTATTTTAAATGTTATAAATGAATTTTATCATTATTCAGATTGTGGGTCTCCATTAAATGTATCCAATGGTAATTTGCTCTACACCGCAACAACGTTTGGATCAACTGCTTCTCTTGTCTGTGATAGAGGATATGATGGAAACGGTACAATAAGCTGCCTTGACACTGGCAGTTGGGAAACACCACCAATATGTTCTGTAAAAGGTAAATTTTAATTTGTATCAATTTCAGTCTTTGTCAAATATTTGGAACTTCTGTCGATACTTTCGTTTGTTTGTTTGTTTATTTTACTTTTTTTTCATTTTACGCCTTTTTCCAACAGTATTTCAGTCATATAGGCGGGTAGTTTCCTAACCATCGTATCTGGAGAGTTACACCAGCAATACTTTTGTTATGTATACTTTTAACAACATTGTAAGTCCTGGATTTAAATGAATAATAAATGTATAATATGTATTAATGTATAGGTGAGTTTAAACAGATCTGTCATCGTATTACCTTATAGATATTGTACACATGATCCGATTTTTGTTATCACCTTTATATTGTTTTCATTAATTAATTGTCTTATGTTATAATTGAAATATTATATCTACCTACTCAAAAATTTACTGCTTGGACAACGTTGAAGAATTAAAATCTTGAACAGGAAAGTACAACTTCATGGTAGAATAACGCTACTGATAAAATATTGATTCTGGTTCATAACGTTAAAGATTTAATGTCACAGTGATCTGATAAAAGATACATGTTTCTTCCTAATCCCTTACAAATATTTTATATAGTAATCGATCGACACCTGAGTTTCTCACTTAAATATTAAATAACAGTCGTTGTATTTTAGCTGATCATAGCACATTCTGCTCACATTTGTAGCTCAACAAAGAACAACGTTTTTCATGTTATTTATTGTGATTATAAATCGTTCGTCGCCCTGCGTCAGTACGTACTCGCTAACAATTTGGTTTTATGTGGTTATGGATATAATAGGAAACAATTGATTGTCCTTTTTTCTGTCGTTTGGTAAAAGCTTGATGTTTCTAAAATGTCTTTATGTGGTTGAAAATAACTCAGGGGTATGCTTTGTTGATGTTGGCATTCGGGAAACTTGAACATGTGTCGTTAAAATATATTGAAATGTGTACATTATTCGTCATTTTGAAAACCTTCAAAGCTCTTTTGAAAACATTTTGACTTGTATATTTGAAATACAAATTAAAGAGTATAAAGCAGTAATTAATGGTGTTTTTGTTTAAATGACGGGACAATTATGCCGTTTTCATATGAATATTATACAGAAATTGGATAAAGTGTTCCAGAAACAAAATACATTTGGAAGATATTCTTTGTAAATTGGACGATGATTTCACGCATACCAAACTCCCTGTCAATAAAATATACGGAAGAATTCTTTCATTTTAGGTATTCTATTAAATCGTAACAATGAATTTGAATGTAATACATTCTCACGCTTATGAATAACGTCATGATATCTATTTTAAATGTTATAAATGAATTTTACCATTATTCAGATTGCGGGTCTCCATTAAATGTATCCAATGGTAATTTGCTCTACACCGCAACAACGTTTGGATCAACTGCTTCACTTGTCTGTGATAGAGGATATGATGGAAACGGTACAATAAGCTGCCTTGACACTGGCAGTTGGGAAACACCACCAATATGTTCTGTAAAAGGTAAATTTTAATTTGTATTAATTTCAGTCTTTGTCAAATATTTAGAACTTCTGTCAATACTTTCGTTTGTTTGTTTGTTTTTCTTTTGTTTTCATTTTTCGCCTTTTTCCAACAGTATTTCAGTCATGTAGGCGGGTAGTTTCCTAACCATCGTTCCTGGAGAGTTACACCATCAATACTTTTGTTATGTATACTTTTAACAACATTGTAAGTCCTTGATTTAAATGAATAATAAAAGTATAATATGTATTAATGTATAGGTGATTTTAAACAGATCTGTCATCGTATTACCTTATAGATATTGTACACATGATCTGATTTTTGTTTATCACCTTTATATTGTTTTCATTCATTGATTGTCTTATGTTATAATTGAAATATTATATCTACCTACTCAAAAATTTACTGCTTGGACAACGTTGAAGAATTAAAATCTTGAACAGGAAAATACAACTTCATGGTAGAATAACGCTACTGATAAAATATTGATTCTGGTTCATAACGTTAAAGATTTAATGTCACAGTGATCTGATAAAAGATATATGTTTCTTCCTAATCCCTTACAAATATTTTATATAGTAATCGATCGACACCTGAGTTTCTCACTTAAATATTAAATAACAGTCGTTGTATTTTAGCTGATCATAGCACATTCTGCTCACATTTGTAGCTCAACAAAGAACAACGTTTTTCATGTTATTTATTGTGATTATAAATCGTTCGTCGTCCTGCGTCAGTACGTACTCGCTAACAATTTGGTTTTATGTGGTTATGGATATAATAGGAAACAATTGATTGTCCTTGTTTAAAGCTTGGTGTTTCTAAAATGTCTTTATGTGGTTGAAAATAACTCAGGCGTATGCTTTGTTGATGTTGGCATTCGGGAAACTTGAACATGTGCCGTTAGAATTTATTGAAATGTGTACATTATTCGTCATTTTGAAAATCATCAGAGCTCTTTGTACATATATTGACGTGTGTATATGAAATACAAATTAAAGAGAATAATGCATATAACTGATAGTATTTTTGTTTAAAAAAAAACGATTAAATTATGCCGTTTTCATATAAATATTGTACAGAAATAGGATAAAAGGTTCAGGAAACAAAATATTTATCAACTATTCTTAGTACACTGGATGATGATTTCACGCATGCCCCACTCGCTGTTAATAAAATAGCCAGAGGAATACTTTCTCTACAGTAATCTCTAGGTTATCGTGACAATGAAGATAAATGTAAACCATTTTTCCGTTTATGTTTAACGTCATGATATTAATTTTAAATGTTTTAAATGAATTTAACCATTATTCAGACTGTGGGTCTCCATTAAATGTATCCAATGGTAATTTGAACTATACCGCAACAACGTTTGGATCAACCGCTTCTCTTGTCTGTGATAAAGGATTTGGGTATGATGGGAATGGGACAATAAGCTGCCTTAACACTGGCAGTTGGGAAACACCACCAAATTGTTCTGTAAAAGGTAAATTTTAATTTGTATCAATCTCCATCTTTGTTAAATATTTGTAACTTTTGTCAATTAATCAGTTACGTTGAAAATAGCGGTGTACAACTAGAAAATTTCACTGATTCTTTAGCTGAAAAATCTCTATATATATACATGTATTTGATTATTCTTTTTTATTTGATTTCCTTTTTAATGTACTTGGTAGTCTATAGGCGGGAAAGCCAAATCCAGGACCCGCCTCGCAGACCTTGCCTTTGACTTCCACGTATTATTGATGTTTTATACTTAGGTAATCAGGAATATACATCTAGGACAAAAAAACAGGGAAATATAACTTCATGATTAGATAACGCTACAATTAAGAAATAATGATTTTTGTCGGTGACATTTCTCGTTTACTCCAAATTACTTACAAATGTGTCACAAATAAATTAATCAAATGTCCCCTCAATAACACAAGAATGGTTTATTTCATACGCATCTTTGAACTATTTTGTCAAATTTCACACGTTAGTTTATTTTGTATTTTCAAACATTTTGCTCAAATTGCACTTATTGAATGACAAATTCAAGTCGTGTTTGCATTCCTCTCATGATCGAACGTCATTACTATGACGTTTAATATTTAACCTATTTTCATTAATTTTCATCTTCAAGTTTATATTCATAATATTAATCAAACTTTTAAAAGAAAATGTTTATTAATAATTGACAATATGTTGTCCTTTATAAAGCCTTAATAACTTTAGCTGCTATATGCAAATTTAGCACCAATGAAATAAACTTTTATTATTAAAAACATATAAAGTGTTTGATAATATGATTGTAAAGACTCACGCCTTACTGTTCATAATAATTGTGTATCTCATTTTGTTACATCACTTACCTTAATATTGCTCTCCTTTTTTATTTGTCTATGTTATTTTGTTGATATGTGTTTAGGTGTAGAATGTCCTGAAGGATGGACCAGTTTCGAAAAAAGTTGTTACCTGTTTGTAGAAGAACTTATGACATGGGAAGCTGCCAAAGTAATATTTTGTTCTTTTATTATCCTATATTGTTCAGCAGTTCGTCCAACTGATGTTTCGCCTCTTACGACTTTATATGTGAAATTCCCCATCTACACCATGTTTTATAGAAACACTGACTCCCAAAATGGATATAAGAACGTATGTACCATGAGAAACAGCCTTTATGTACCTCGGTGGTTTTTTTACTTGAGCAGTGTAATCATTTTGAAGGATATAATGTGTCTGCTCAATTGAACATCTTTAGAAATATATTGTTTTAAATAAGTTCTTAAGGGCATAAGATAATGATTAGTATCATTTAATAACAACATGCTACGAATATTACATATTTATTAAGCACTGCTGTAGATATACCATCAGATCATGTTTTGCTATATATGTCTTTCTGATTAAAACAACTAGTAGTATTACTTTCTGAAAATTATATCGTTGTCGCATTTTTACAGACGAAAATGAAATTAAAGTGCAAACATACATGTATCTCGAAAAAGCACTAATAAGATTTTCTAGCAAATTAATACAAACGTAAACATTTATTGAACCAAACCTATTGTTAAAATGAATTATTGGATACATGTGTCCATATACCAATAATTTGACTGTATAAATGACAACTGTGTATTCTTTTAGACAATTATAAATGTCATTTTCTTCAAGTAGGTACATTAACATATACAATGTATTTTGTTTGATAAGTTTTTCATGTTAACTTTCTGAAAAAAATTTCATAATGTCTTCATATCGTTATGATACAAATCCCCTATAAAGCAAATTGTTTAAATTATTTGCTAACTTTTAACAAGAGGGCCATAATGGCCCTGAAAACGCTCACCTGAATATAAAAATTTTCCATAACGAGGAACAAGTTATATTGTAAATTATAAACAAAAGCAGATACAAAATCTAAATCTAAAACTGATATCACAAAGTTCACATTTTTATCTGAAAAAGTGCATATGTAAAACATTCTAAGGGAAACAACAGTTGCAAAAGATTTGTTCATATCTTGCAAATCAATAACACCCATGGGACGAGGCCAATTTCTCACGTCAAACTTCTGTTCTAAAATATAATAGGCCACATATGTGTTTATCAAATACCATTAATACATGAATATATACTTATGGAATTGCTTTATCTCTTGCAGAATAAATGCGAATCAATAAAAGGATACCTTGTAGAAATCAACTCTGCCTCTGAAAACACCTTTTTTAAAGAAACGATCGGTGATGCTTGTAAGTAAAAACATTATAATATTACAATGCCTTCGTGCCAAAATATAACCGTCACAAAAACAATCACCTTTACAGTAAAACGTATTGTATTTTACTTTAAACCTTTCTAAAAAGGCCAAATTTATTTTATTTATGCCATATCAAAACTTTCAAATCCATATGCTGGTATCTAAAGTAAAATGTATGAAGAACTTTATATAGACCTTTTTACATTTTGATTTTTCCACAGTAACGAATGTTGCAGTTCGTGCATTCGCATTCTGCGTTGGGCAAAAACGCAATAACGATGACTTCACGTTATCATATTTAAAAGCTTTAATAGACGTGATTTCAAGTTATGCACCAGTTAGGAACCGGATGATAAAAAGTGTGTTATTTCACTATCCACTACCCGTCTTAATTTATCAATATTTTGAATAACTATATGAATTAATTCATGTGACTTTAAAACATGCTTGGCAGGATAAAATGAGGCTTTTTTCAGAATGATAATTAACCTCGATCTCATATATTATTAAAATTTCTTAAGCTTTTATATGAACTATTTGACAACAGTTAAGTTGACCTCTTTATTTGCTAATAAATATATTTCCACATTAAAAAAAAAACAATGTAAATGTCAATGTCAGTTCCGTTATCGTAAGATGGAATTCTTTAAGAATCGTCTTTTTCCATGCATGTTTGTGGCAAACTTGGCCAGAAAGCTATAAAGGTATCTACTATGTTTTTCTTAAAAGCTATTTCTTACAGTTTTATACTTTTTACCTTAAATTAACACGAAATTGTCTATGAACTTCTATTATATTTCTATGGAGGGCGATGCTCTTTTTGTCCTACGCAGATTGCGCATGTGCAAGAAAATACTTCTTCTGATTATTTTTCATAGCAATGGACCGCGTTGTAAAAAGGTCTTTAAAGATGGGAAAATATGTACAGAAAAGACGGCGATGGATATGGAAATAATCTCCGTCCATGCGTTCGCCCGTTTTTCTTTTTGTGATTAATATATAAACTTGAACTTTCACTACCAGAAAGATTTCCTTGAAGAGAAAAGCAGTGAACAGGAATGAGAACCTCACCCTTTTATGGTTTCGTAGTTATTCCTTTGTTTTAATTTTCAAAAGTGTTCTATTTAGCAGAAAAGTGGAGCTTTTATCACAAAACTCTTTAATGTTTTATTTTTAAATGCCAGTCGGTGCCAATTAATGATCCTCTTTTTATAGCACTTTTTCTGTTCGACGGGAGATTTTACAGTCTGTAAATGTTTCTTGTTTAACATTAAACGGGACTACTACGTAATTTTTAACGTTTAATATATTAAGAAACAAAATTGTACAATTGGACTATAAAATATTATTTTTCAGATGTTTGGTTGGGATTAAACGACATACAAAAAGAAGGTGAATTTGTGTGGGAATATTCAGGAGCAACATTTGACATCTCTGAAGTAGGCAAAGGCATTAATTTTAATAGTGAAATAACCGATTGTGTCTATCATGGGTATGCTAGCAAGTGGCTTGTAGAACTTTGTGATTTCAACAAAAATTATATGTGCGAAATTTCACCCAGTGAGTATAATCTTTATCATAATTATATTTTCAAGCGTTGATAAAGCAATTATTGATTTAAATTAGATATTCTGTAGCGTTACTTCATTACTGTAACTTCAAAGTGTCACACGTAATTATTTGTAGACAAGGAGATAAAGCCTGGGACCTCAGATTGCTGTTTTACCAATACGCTTTCGGAGTTTCGCGGTTGACAATAAGTGAACGGTTAATTACAATGACACTTATAAAAAATATCATTTCCTATAATAACAATTCAAACGTTTGTTGTCGGAGTTTATGTATAAGGTCCAGGGACTTTTATTCTATAAATATCAGCAAACACTGTCAATTTGGAGTCGTTACTGGTTTAGGTGTATCATGTTGTATCGACAGCTAAGTAATTTTGTTGAATAAATATAAACCAAACTCAATAGAAATAGATAATATTTAATTTCAAAATAGAACCATAAAGTGTCGTTAAAAGATATTTTCGGTAAAAAGGTAATGACATGGTTGTGCACCATGATTCAGGGAATAAAATGCATTTCTTCTCTTTCAGAAAAATGAAGGAACTTACCAGGGGAAATGTTCTAAAAAGATGTAGTTACTGGGATCGTTTTGTTGTTATTTTATTCTTCTTCAAAATTGAAATGATTCAAACGAAGCAAATTCATAAAATATTGAAAGTATATCAATAATAAATTTCGTTCTGATAGACTGGGTGTTGTTTATTTACCTAAGATAGCATTTGAACTTAGGTACTTGGTATTGAAGTAATAATCTAGATGATCTTTATATCTGATAAAAAGTATTGTTTTTCTGAAATGTCATGGTCATATTAATAAGCCAGAGGACCCTGTTAATGATACAAAGTAAATTCACAACATATGGAAAAGTGTTTGTATTTAAAAATCTTAATACATTGTTCTTTCGTTTAAGCTTAAATCTAATGAGCAGCAGATAATGCTTTAAGTAGCCTTAAATAAAGCAATTGTGCAACCTAGATGGATTGAATTATTATGAGCCATTAAATTTACCCTTAAAATAAACGTATTACGAACCATCAATAATTCTTACCTGAGACCTTTGTGAAAAGATAATTGAGCTTATAAAAACGCTAATGTGAGTCATTGATAAAACATCAGTTTTAGAATAAAAGAATAAACACCGACGAATCCTTCACACGAACCACAGATAAATCTGATATAAACTGTAAGAATAAGTCGTATTTAAAAATAACAATATTGATATATGAAGCTGCCATGATAATTAAATATAAGTAAAAGTAGATCTAGGTAAAAACTGACATGAACCCTTCAAACAGATTTTATTGTCCAAATGTAAATAAAATATTAGCGCTTGAAAAACTTAACATTGGCTCTTTATATAGCAAAACGTACTCTTGTAAAAAGAAACCGGGAGCATTAGTTCTTGCTTATATTTGACCCTGGCTTTAGTATATAAAAGGAAGTTTGAGTTCTCCATAAAGCTTTTTGCAACATAAGTCTAAGGTAAATTTTTCCTTAAAAGATTGTACCATTAGTCTTGAATGATGATATGCCTACGAAAACAATCGCAGAATAGAATAATAACATTAGCCCTTCACAGAATTACGTGCGCCTTATATAAGATTTTTTAGTTTTGAAGAAAGCGTTGAGATGCAGAAATATAGTGATGGAATGGAGAGAAAATCCAAGGAAAAGTTTTTATAGCTTACTGAAATGGGATTTGAGACTGCTGAAGCAGAAAATGCATTGAAACATGCCTTAAATGACCCTGAACTGGCTTTGGCAATACCTAGATATGTATGATGAGGAATTATTTCTATTTGTTGATAAGTGATTTTCATGGAATGTTCAAAAAAGTGCAATGGGTATATTAAATGATCATATTACACTTCTTCCACCTACATCTCTCATTTTAAGTCGGTGACCCGACATTGTCAAACAAATTGGCTGCTACTTAGAACCATAATGATAATTGTCGTCCTAGAATAAATTAGTAGGTATTCCGCTAGACTATCCAATAATCAATAATATCATGAACTTTTTATCCGTTTTCATATAAACAGCTTATTTAAGATAGGAAAATGCCAACAGAAAGCGTTTCCGAGTTTTTATAAAAGTTTGTGTTTAAGTGCAAATGGTTTTGCCCAGGTATTTAAAATACGTTCAATTAATGTTCATCAATTATTATTATTTATTTCAGTTAAAGATTTTACTAGCATGTTTTATGTTTTTGTTACTCGCTTGAAGTTAAACATTTAATTAATACATATTATGTTTTTAGTACTTGCTTACAATTAATGCAGTTTAAAAGCCAATTCATATACTATTTATTTTTAAAGGACTAATGGGACTTTTGTAATTCCTTATTTGGAGTTTTTCGTTCGCATAAGACAATGTTTGAGCTGAAGTCCTTACTAGTCTTTTTTGCCTAATTATCTATAAATTACTTGTTATTAGGCTTAGTAGTATGAGAACATCAGCAAACTTATGTAATTTTTCAATGTTACTGAGTTAAATATTCAACTTAACAAGTAGTAACATTTAGTAACGTTATATGCTCTACATAATTGCTAACTAATAGTTAATATCAACGCACGGGTACCGATTTATATTAGTTTATACATATGTAGCAAATGTGCGACTTAAGGCGAAGTTTGGTCCCGCTGCAGAAAACTTTCTATTTAAAGCTCACGTAGCTCGAGTCACTCGATTAATATTGGAGCCGCGTCATGACAAAACCAACTTAATGGGTTTGCGACCAGCATGGATCCAGACCAGCCTGCGCATATCAGGATCCATGCTGTTCGCTATCAGTTTCTCTACTAGCTATAGGGTTTGTAAGCGAACAGCATGGATCCTGATAAGGCTAATGCGCAGGCTGGTCTGGATCCATGCTGGTCGCATACCCATTATGTTGGTTTTGTCATGACGCGGCTCATTTGTACTTTATTATCTAAGAATAGCACTAACGCACCTTTATCGACATATCATCTCTTAAACTTATCAATTCCCTCGCCCTGCGAGACCGGGCTTTAAATGCGTTCTCGTGCATTAATTTTCTACTAAAACGTACGTAGCTTCCACAATTCTTTATTACATACAATATAGAAGCGAAAATAAATCTATACAAGCGTGCAGAAATTTAAACTTACGATTACAAATTTATTCTATCTTAGTAAAGATTAATATAGAAATATATGTAAGCGGGTGACATCTATACTAGCGAGTATAAATAAAATAACTAGCGCGTAAAGATTTATACAAATGTGTCAACATTTATACAAGTGAGTCAAGATTTGTGAGTAGAGATTTATACTAGCAAGAAAATATTAACATAAGTGAGATTTTTACTAGCGATTTGAAATGAACATAAGTGAGTCAAGATTTATACAAACCAGTAGATATTAATATAAGTGAGTAGATTTATACTAGCAAATAAATATTAAAGATCCTGTAACATGATTTATCATGAATTTAATGCTAAAATGAGGATTCATTACTTTTGTACTAAAAGTTCCAAAAACCATTATTTGTAAAGGGAGATTATTAGAAATATATTTTCTATAAAGTCTAAGTCAAATTTTTCAATATGAAATGAATGCATATGTTTTAATGACTGCTTATAATGTGGAACATATTTTACATATTCTACGATGTTTAAAACTTGTTTTAGAAGCATAATTATATACATATATAACATTTCACTTAAGTGTGGTAACAACCTTATTTACAACATACAGGATCATTAACATAAGTGAGTCAAGATTTATACTAGCTAGTAGATATTAACATAAGTGGGTAGAGATTTTTACTAGCGAGTAGATATTAACATAAGTGGGTAGAGATTTTTACTAGCGAGTAGATATTAACATAAGTGGGTAGAGATTTTTACTAGCGAGTAGATATTAACATAAGTGGGTAGAGATTTTTACTAGCGAGTAGATATTAACATAAGTGGGTAGAGATTTTTACTAGCGAGTAGATATTAACATAAGTGGGTAGAGATTTTTACTAGCGAGTAGATATCAACATAAGTGGGTAGAGATTTATACTAGCGAGTAGATATTAACATAAGTGGGTAGAGATTTTTACTAGCTAGTAGATATTAACATAAGTGGGTAGAGATTTTTACTAGCGAGTAGATATTAACATAAGTGGGTCAAGATTTATATTAGCTAGTAGATATTAACATAAGTGGGTAGAGATTTTTACTAGCGAGTAGATATTAACATAAGTGAATCAAGATTCACACTAGCGAGTAGATATTAACATAAGTGAATCAAGATTCACACTAGCGAGAAGATATTAACATAAGTGAATCAAGATTCACACTAGCGAGTAGATATTAACTTAAGTGGGTCAAGATTTATACTAGCTAGTAGATATTAACATAAGTGGGTAGAGATTTTTACTAGCGAGTAGATATTAACATAAGTGGGTCAAGATTTATACTAGCTAGTAGATATTAACATAAGTGGGTAGAGATTTTTACTAGCGAGTAGATATTAACATAAGTGAATCAAGATTCACACTAGCGAGTAGATATTAACATAAGTGGGTAGAGATTTATACTGACTAGTAGATATTAACATAAGTGGGTAGAGATTTTTACTAGCGAGTAGATATTAACATAAGTGAATCAAGTGTCACACTAGCGAGTAGATATTAACATAAGTGGGTAGAGATTTATACTAGCGAGTAGATATTCACATAAGTGGGTAGAGATTTTTACTAGCGAGTAGATATTAACATAAGTGAGTAGAGATTTATACTAGCTAGTAAATATTTACATAAGTGAGAAGAGATTTTTAGTAGCGAGTAGATATTAACATAAGTGAGTAGAGATTTATACTAGCGAGTAGATATTAACTTAAGTGAGTAGAGATTTTTACTAGCTAGGAGATATCAACATAAGTGGGTAGAGATTTATACTAGTGAGTAAATATTAACATAAGTGAGTAGAGATTTTTACTAGCTAGTACATATTAACATAAGTGGGTAGAGAATTTTACTAGCTAGGAGATATCAACATAAGTGGGTAGAGATTTATACTAGTGAGTAAATATTAACATAAGTGAGTAGAGATTTTTACTAGCTAGTAGATATTAACATAAGTGGGTAGAGAATTTTACTAGCGAGTAGATATTAACATAAGTGGGTAGAGATTTTTACTAGCGAGTAGATATTAACTTAAGTGAGTAGAGATTTTTACTAGCTAGGAGATATCAACATAAGTGGGTAGAGATTTATACTAGTGAGTAAATATTAACATAAGTGAGTAGAGATTTTTACTAGCTAGTAGATATTAACATAAGTGGGTAGAGAATTTTACTAGCGAGTAGATATTAACTTAAGTGGGTCAAGATTTATACTAGCTAGTAGATATTAACATAAGTGGGTAGAGATTTTTACTAGCGAGTAGATATTAACATAAGTGAATCAAGATTCACACTAGCGAGTAGATATTAACATAAGTGAATCAAGATTCACACTAGCGAGTAGATATTAACATAAGTGAATCAAGATTCACACTAGCGAGTAGATATTAACTTAAGTGGG